TGAGGCTGATTCTGACAGAGCCTATGGCTTATGTTGGAAGCCTTCCAGAATCCAGAGAGAACCTGAAGGTATTGATCTTTGAGAAACAGTAGCTGAACAAGTATAAACTGTAAACTTTGGAATCAAAGTTTAAGTCCCCACATCAGCTGTCTAAAAATCTGGAACTGGCCAGGTGTAGTGGCTCACACCTGTAATCCCAACACTTTGGGAGGCCAAGGCAGGTGGATCACTTGAGGTCAGGAGTTTGAGACCAGCCTGGACAACATGGTAAAACCCCATCTTTACTAAAAATACAAAAATTAGCTGGACAGGTGGTGGGTGCCTATAATCCCTGCTACTCAGGAAGCTGAGGCAGAAGAATCCCTTGAACCTGGGAAACGGAGGTTGCAGTGAGCCAGGATTGCACCATTGCACTCCAGCCTGGGCAACAGAGACAGATTCTGTCTCAAAAAAAAAAAAGAATCTGGAACAGCAAAAACACCTCCCTGAAAAGGCAAGTGTCCATGGGGCTATGCAGGACAAGGCTTCAACAGTGACACCAAGTGGCAGCAAAGACTCATTGCAATGGAACCCTAATCTCATGTCAAGGTTCTTCCTAGAACTTCCCCAAGCAAATCCACGTGTGGAGGAGTCTACAGTTGGGGACAGGAAACAGATCACTGAAAATGGATCTGTGAACATACAGGCCTTTGTCTACCCCAGAGTAGAATTGCAGGGCAGGGCAGAAAGGTGGGTGTTGTAGGGGTGTGTGTGTGTGTCTATGAGTACATAGCCCTCTGTCCATCCTTCTCAAGGGAAATGGAAATCAAGATAACTTATTTATTTATTATTATGAATACATAGGCAACTGTGTATTTATAATAATTTATTCTATGACACAGGCAGCTGGAAGAGCCAGAGATTGTTAAATATGCCACAGAGATAGCAACAGAAGATTCAATTTATAGGCAAAGAACTTGAAACTTCATGTAACGAAGTGTTTCCAATATTATAATGATCTTGACAAAATCCCTTGATTCTTTAGGGAAAAATAGAGCAGCAGGTTGCTGGGGAAAGTTGCTAATAGTTGTCTGCAACTATGTAAGACCACATATGATATACTGGAAAAGTGGCCAGAATTATTCACATTTCCTTATATTAATGCCCTTAGCAGAATGACTTTGCAGGTCTTTTCCTTAACAGGTAGAGATTCTTTCCTTACCTTGAATCTAAACTGGTCTGGTTACTTGCTTTGGCTGCTAGAATGAGGCAGAAGTGACGTTCTATTAGTTCCTAGCTTCAGATTCAAGAGGCCTTGCGTGCATGCCTCTGCTTGCTTTCTTGGATTTTTGCAACCTTCATATGAATAAGCCAGACTAGCTTCCTGGAAGACCAGAGATCACTCGCATCAGAATTGGTCAGCTGGTTGATCCCAGCCAAAGTCCAAAACATGTGAAAGAGCCTATGCAAGCTCAGTGAAATCAAACCTCATCAAACCTTCAGATAACCCCCAGCTGACTGCAGCAGGTACATACCCAAGGCTACCCTAGATCTGCCATGCCCACACCGACTCAATGACTAATTAGCAAAATAAATGTTCAGGCCAGGTGCGGTGGCTCATACCTGTAATCCCGGCACTTTAGGAGGCCCAGGCGGGTGGATCACCTGAGGTCAGGAGTTCGAGACCAGCCTGGCCAACATAGTGAAACCTCATTTCTACTAAAGATGCAAAAATTAACCAGACATGGTGGCACACGCCTGTAGTCCCAGCTACTCGGGAGGCTGAGACAGGAGAATCGCTTGAACCTGGGAGGCAGAGGTTGCAGTGAGCTGAGACTGTGTCACTGCACTCCAGCCTGGGCAAGACAGAGCAAGACTCCGTCTGAAAAACAAAAACAAAAACAAACAAAAAAACCAAACAAAGCAAAATAAATATTCATTGTTTTAAAAAAACAAAAAAAGTGACACATGCCCTCTTATAAGAAAAGCTTCAGAAGAGGAAATATTTAAATTATCTGGGGCGTGGTGGTTCACACCAGTAATCCCAACATTTTGGGAGGCCAAGGCTAGAGGATCACTTGAGTCCAGGAGTTCCAGACCAGCTTGGGCAACATGGTGAGACCTGTTTTTTTTTTTTTTTTCTTTTTTTTCTTTTTTTCCGAGGCAGTCTTGCTCTGTCCCCCAGACTGGAGTGCAGTGGCATGATCTCAGCTCACTGCAACCTCTACCTCTTGGGTTCAAGTGATTCTCCTGCCTCAGCCTACAAGTAGCTAGGATTACAGGTGCCTGCTACCACGCCTTGTTAATTTTTGTATTTTTAATAGAGACAAGATTTCACCATGTGGGCCAGACTGGTCTCGAACTCCTGACCTCAGCTGATCTACCTGCCTTGGCCTCCCAAAGTGCTGGGATTATAGGCGTGAGCCACTGTGCCCAGCCAAGACCCAGTCTTTATAAAAAACAAAAATTTAGCCAAGCATGGTGGTGCACACCTGTGGTCCCTGCTACTCAGGAGGCTGAAGTGGAAGGATCATCTGAGCCCAGGAGGTCAAGGCTGCAGTGAACCAGTTCAAGCCACTACACTCCAGCCTGGGCAACAGAGCAAGACTCTGTCTCAAAAAATAATAAATAAATAAATTCTCTTCATTTCTGTATTTTTCTATGCTTTCTAGATGGGTAGGAATCTCCTCTTTCCCTCTACCTGGATATGATAACTCATTCATTTAATCATTCATTTCATAGTTTTTTTTTTGAGACAGTCTCTCGCTCTGTCACCCAGGCTGGAGTGGAGTGGTGCAATCTCGACTCACTGCAACCTCTGTCTTCCAGGTTAAAGTGATTCTCATGCCTCAGCCTTCCGAGTAGCTGGGATTACAGGCATGCACCACAACACCTGGCTCATTTTGTTGTTTTTTAATAAGAGACGGGGTTTTGCCATGTTGTCCAGGCTGGTCTCAAAACCCTGGCCTCAAGTGATCTGCCTGCCTCAGTCTCCCAAAGTGCTGGCATTATAGGCATGAGCCACTATGCCCGGCCTCCATAGTTTTTTTTCTTTTTTTTTTTTTTAAGTGCAAGATACTTTGATAGGCTCTGTAGGGTCACATGGTGCAGGAGTAAGAAGACACAAATTTAAGTTATAGTCAAGTTTGGGCACAAAGGAAATAAGCCTGCCCAAATAAATCACCTACTACATTTGAATTTGGATAATGTCAGATCGATTTGCAGCAGTCTGACCTTTGGATAGTTACTTAACCTCTCTGAGTTTTGGCTTCCTCATTTCACAAACGGGAACATTACCTGGCTCAGCATGATTGGAAGGGTCAAAGAGATTTGCAAGGTCCTGTGCCCACGGGGTCAGAATCACCTTCCACCTCCTGACCTTGTTGGTTCACAATTCAGGTTAGTGCTGAGCACCACCTTCATCATGTCAGGATCTCCCCAAGCAGAGGGGAATCTTCCTGAATTTGCTTTCACTAGGCCGGGCACAGTGGCTCACACCTGTAATCCCAGCACTTTGCGAGGCCGAGGTGGGCAGATCACTTGAAGTCAGGAGTTCCAGACAAGCCTGGCCCACATGGTGAAACCCCGTCTCTATTAAAAATACAAAAGTTAGCCGGGCGTGGTGGTGGGCGCCTGTAATCCTGGCTACTTGGGAGACTGAGGCAGGAGAACTGCTTGAACCTGGGAAGTGGAGGTTGCAGTGAGCCAAGATTGTACCACTGTACTCCAGCCTGGCCGACACAGCAAGACTCCGCCTCAAAAAAAAAAAAAAAAAAAAAACTCTCTACTAAAAATACAAAATTAGCCAGGTGTGGTAGTGCATGCCTGTAATCCCTGCTACTTGGGAGGCTGAGGTGGGAGAATCACTTGAACCCGGGAGGCAGAGGTTGCAGAGAGCCGAGATCGTGCCATCGCACTCAAGCCTGGGCAACAAGAGCAGAACTTCCTCTCAAAAAAAAAAAAAAAAAAGTCATAAGAAGTGCTGTTACATCTCAGTTTCATCATTTCCTAACTACAGGACTTTGAACAAGACTTAGCCTCTCTGAATCTACCATATAAATTTATTGTGAAGATTAAATGCCTACAAAACTCCTAGTAGACGGTCTATGTTCCCAACAATGTTAGCTACTGTTATTGTTGTTGTCAGAGTTGTTGCAGACAAATAAGCAAGACAGGGGCTGTAAGAAATGGACCGCATTAATAGTCTTCAGTTAATGACTCTTTGCCCGGTCACTTTGTAGTGCTTTTCCAGTCTAACTCTAGGTTTGGTCCTGTGATTTGCTTTGGCTGCTAGGACAGTAGTAAACTTGATACAAGCAGAGGTGTGAAAAAGAGACTGCCTGTTTTACTCTTTTCCATTACAGGGTAGCCTGCTGGGAGGACATACGAGACGTGTAGAAGAGCCAAGTTGTCCTGATGTCCTGACTGAGGCCACAGAAGACCAGTCATCCCCTAACCAACCTAACAACTATACCTTACAGATGTATGAATGAGCCCAGGGAAGATCAGCCAGGTCCAGCCCAGATCAGCAAAACCACCTAGTCAACTCTGAAACTTACATGAAATAACAAACGGTTGCTGTTTGAAGCCTCTAAGTTTAATGTAACTTATTATACAGCAATAGCTGGCTGATGCAGGAACCATGGGAGCTCTTGTCCTTTAATATTGAAGAAGCTGATATTCAACGGCAAGGGAGAGGTATGGTGTGATGGCTCATGCCTACAATCCCAGCACTTTGGGAGGCTGTGTTAGGATGATTGCTTGAGCCCAGAAGTTGGAGACCAGCCTAGGCAACATAGTAAGACCCTGTCTCTACAAAAAATTTAAAAATTAGCTGGGCATGGTGGTAAGCCCATGCGGTTCTGCCTACTTAGGAGGCTGAAGTGGGAGGATTGCTTGAGTTCAGGAGGTTAAGGCTGCAGTGAACCATGATCTCACCACTGTACTCTAGCCTGGGTGACAGAGCGAGACCCTGCCTAAAAAATAATAAAAAATAAACAACAAAGGCAAAGCAGAGAAAGTCATGGTCTGCCAGGTTTTATTTGTAGAGTCTGGTGAACTTGAACAAGAGAAAGCTGCAAAAAGTGGTTTGGAGACCATGGCAGGGCCATGGAGAAGGGCTAATAGAAGCCAAGGGTGGCCAGACCCTCAGGGAGCCCTTTTGGTGGAGAGCAGACACCTGAGGCAGGAGGTGGCAGCGGCCAAGTCCAGGCAGGCAGCAGCAGGGCTGCAACTGAGAGCTGAGGCTGGAGAGGTAGCGCTCGCCCTAACCTGACCCTGCAGGTCTCAAGCCCTGGGGTCATATACTCGCCCCATGAAGACAGGGAACTTGTGCTGCTGGTCCCAGAGGAGGAAGAGGAAGGGCTGCTGCACTTCAAAGATGAGCAGGGCGCGGGCCACAGAGATGGCAGAGGCTGCAGCCGCCTCCACCCCAGTCTCTGTCAGTTCCAGCACTGCCTGGTGCTGCATCGCAGAAACCTGAAGATCTGGGTCCTCTGTCAGCCCACACAGGTTGAGGTCATAAGAAAAGTCGAAGAATTCTAGGGCAAAACCAGAGAAAAACAGAGTCAGAGGTCGGCATGAAACCCTCAGCTGATGGAGACCTTTGTCCTGAATTCTCTGGGTTCATCCTGAGTCCCAGTGCTCTCTTCCTTTTTCCTTGTTTGCCAGATTACATACTATACCCTCTCGTCCCCTTTGTGGGATCCTCTATTAGTGGGCCCAACACTGCCACTCTCTCTCAAGGTGAGAGGCCTTGCCCCCCATCCCTAAAACAACCCTGAAAAATGATGTCATTGTCTCCTTGTCTCCCAGGACCTTGGAAGTGAGGTAACAGATCAGAGATAGGTCATGTATGAAAAAATGAGGTTATATGCAATGCTATGATGCTGTGAAATAATGGGAAAATATGCTATAGGAGCATCTTTAGCTCCAAATATTAGGCCATCTAATATTTGGTCTCAGATCCCAGTTCCTGACACAGAGCTACTAGATCCCTTGGAATTTCCTGGGTCATAGGAATGCCTTTTGTGCTAATGAGGTTACTCCTGCTGGCTCCTGGATGGGGGCTGGTCACTAGGAAGACTAAGTGTGATTAGAGCTTGGAACTTTCAGCCCCTCTGTCCATCCTCTGGGGAGAAGAGAGGAGCTGGAGATTGGGTAATAATCAATCACGCCTACATGATGAAGCCTCCTAAAGTACAGGGTTCTGAGAGCTTCTGGTTGGTGAACACATACATGTGTCAGGAAGGTAGCAAACCAAACTCCACAGGATAGATGCTCCTGGGCCCAGGACCCTTCGAGATTTTGCCCTGTGTATCTCTTCATCCGGCTGTTCATCTGCATCCTTTACTTAATCCCTTATATAATAAACCAGTAAATGTAAGTGTCTCCTGAGTTTTGTCAGCTATTCTAGCAAATGATGAAACCCTTACAGGGAGTCGTGGGAACCTCCAAATTATAGCTGGTTGGTCTGATGCACAGATGACAACCTGGTCTTGTAACTGACATTGGAAACAGGGGGAAATCTGGTGGGGTTGAGCCCTTAAACTGCGTGAGATCTGATGTTACTTCCAGGTAGAGAGTGTTAGAATTGGATTCAATTGTAGGACACCTAGTTGGTGTTCCCAGAGAACTGGAGAATTGCTTAGAAAACACTCCCACACCTATTTGGTGGCCAGCAGTGTTGAATGAAAATAAAAAAGAGGTTTTCTTCCTATACAGATGGCATATACAAGGAAATGGCATCATGCATTAGGTAGTCAAGTTCTCTAACAAGAAATGAAGTGACAGGGTTGGACATGAGATCAAAGGTTAGAAAATGAAGCTGGGCACAGTGGCTCACACCTGTAATCCCAGCACTTTGGGAAGCCAAGGTGGGCAGATCACTTGAGGCCAGGAGTTCAAGACCAGCCTGGCCAGCATGGTGAAACCCCATCTCTACCAAAAATACAAAAAAATTAGCTGGGCGTGGTGGTAGGTGCCTGTAATCCCAGCTACTTGGGAGGCTGAGGTAGGAGAATCACTTGAACCCAGGAGGTGGAGGTTGTAGTGAGCCAAGATCATGCCACTGCACTCCAGCCTGGGTGACAGAGCGAAGTTCCATTTCAAAAACAAACAAACAAACAAAAAAACAAAGGTTAGAAAGTGGAGTCTCTGGGCCAGGCGCGGTGGCTCATGCCTGTAATCCCAGCACTTTGGGAGGCCGAGGCGGGTGGATCACGAGGTCAGGAGATCGAGACCATCCTGGTTAACACGGTGAAACCCCCTCTCTACTAAAAATACAAAAACAAAATTAGCTGGGCGTGGTGGCGGGTACCTGTAGTCCCAGCTACTCAGGAGGCTGAGGCGGGAGAACGGCATGAACCCAGGAAGCAGATCTTACAGTGAGCAGAGATCGCGCCACTGCACTCCAGCCTGGGTGACAAAGAGAGACTCTGTCTCATAAAAAAAAAAAAAAGAAAAAGAAAAAAGAAAAAAAGAAAAAAGAAAAAAAAAAAAAAGAAAATGGAGTCTCTGTTGCCTCTCGTAAACTCAGAAGCCTCCAGACCTGCATTTCCAGATAGCTTCTTGCATATTTCATGGTGTGGTTGACTGTTTTGAAACATGTCTGGGGAAGAAGCATCCATAATTCACCTTGGTGAATTACCTGTACCACTGTTCCACTGCCTGTGTCACAAGGAACCATAGAAAAAACTCAGGAGAGCTGGAGACCTGGATCAGTATTCTAGTTTGCCTCTGACTAGCTCAAGGGTAAATCATGGAATCTTTGGGTAAGTCACATAAAACTTCTGGGCCTTCATTTCCACAATGATCCAATGGGATAATAGCACCTACCCTTCTAACTTGCAGGGTTGCAGAACAAACTGAGATTATGGATGTAAAAAATACTCTAGAGAATGCTAACTACATCTTAGGGATCCCCCCTTTCTCCTCTGATGGCCTGGGAGTAACCCCAAGCTGCCAGAGCTCACCCAGTTTCTCCATGATTGACAGCATATCCTGGTTGGTCATCACTTTGATGCGGGGCAGTACTAGGAGAGTGGGCTGGAACTTGGACATCTCCAGCTTCTTCATGATGGCCTTGAAAACAGAAGGGCTGAGAGCCTGTTCTATGTCTTCAAGATGATGTTTCAGGTTCTGGGGTACCAGGATCACCAAACTCAGATTATGGGAGAGCTGCAGTTGCCCCACCTAGAAAATAAAGAGATGCCCCTTAACAGTCTTCCTACCGCAGCTCTCTCCTGGCCCTACCCTCTGTGTCACAAGGCTGTCCTGCAGTCTGCTGCCACAGTCTGTATTTCAACAAGCAGCAGTCAGACCTAGGCTTCCAGGCTTTACCACGAAATGGGGATACCAGCTGGGTGAACAGTGCTGATCTAACTCTGTGCTGGGGAGAGGTAGAGGAAGAAGCATGAGATTCTGATTATACCCTGACTCTACCACTGACGAGCTATGTAATATGGGCAAGTGATTTGATTTCTCTGAGCCCTGTTCCCTTCCTGCCAAATGTGTTGTGCATGTAGTATATTGCATGCACATTGAACCACCCGAGTTATCGGGTCAGCCTCTTTAAAACTACTGACGGCTCTTCACTGCCTATGAGATTAGGTACAAATATCAGTATGGCATTCAAGACTGTTCACAGGCTGGTCTTAGCCTACCTTTCCACTTTGCTATTAAAAGGCCTTTCAACCATGCACAGTGGCTCATGCCTGTAATTCCAGCACTTTGGGAGGCCGAGGCAGGTGGATCACGAGGTCAAGAGATCGAGACCATCCTGGCCACCATGACAAAACCCCATCTCTACTAAAAATACAAAAATTAGCTGGGCATGATGGCGCGTGCCTGTAGTCCCAGCTACTCAGGAGGCTGAGGCAGGAGAATCGCTTGAACCCGGGAGGTGGAGGTTGCAATGAGCCGAGATCGCGCCACTGCACTCCAGCCTGGCGACAGAGTGAGACTCCATCTCAAAAAAAAAAAAAGAAGGACTTTCAACTGGTGACCAGACAAAAGTTGTAAGAAGTGCAGGGCCCATGGGTTTAATGCAGGGGTTGTCAACTCAGAGTGCATTTGCCTCTCGGTGGACATTTGGTAATTTCTGGAGACATTTTGGTTGTCATAGCTGGCAGTGGGCAGGGAGGACGTGCACACAGTGCTACTGGCTTCTAGTGAGTAGAAGCTAAGGATGATGCTAAATTCTACAATGCACAGGACGAAGAATTATCTGACCCAATATGTCAATAGTGCCAAGGCTGAGAAACCCTAGTCTAATAGGATATGAGACTGTCATTAAATGATATTATGATTGAGGCTGAAAGGACAAAAAGAATCTAGAAGAATGCAGAATTCAACTGGGCAATAAAGAAGTTAACTGAAAGCAATCAATTGTTGGAACCTGAATAGCCCAGAAAAAGTAGGTTGTAAGCCAATTTCGGCTGAAGAGGATGGACATGGGGTCCCTGTTGACACAGGACTCAAGTTGGATATACTCATTTGAGTAGCATGTGCCCTTCAGGTCCTATGTGTGAACCTTGAATCTCTGAACAAAAATGTATCATGCTGTGGTCCTGAATTTTCAAGCCAGTAACCTCGGTGTACTTGAGCTGGTAAATCTCACCCCCTTCCTTGGGTAAATATCCTTAAGTGCCAGGAAGATTTAGAATTTAGTATGGGAATGACAAAAGAAAGCAACTTCATCATGCTAAAACCAGGTGTTAAGTTCAGGGTGACCTGTATGTTTGTTATTTAAAATAGTGATTGTAATTTTTAAGAGAATCTGACATGCTAGTTTTATGCTTTTAAGCAAAGTTGTAGGATAATTTCATTAAGTGTGAGAATGATATTGGAATGTTGGCTAGAAGTTAAATCACTCTTCAAATTTAATTTTCAGTTTACAAGTGAGCCTTAGGTGCTAGGATGATATGGCCAAGCACAGTTGTAATTATGACCTGTCAGGTATTAGATGTGTTTAAAAAGGATATCAGCTGGGTGAGGTGGCTCATGCCTGTAATCTCAGCTACTTAAGAGGCTAAGGTGGGAGGACTGCTTCATCCCAAGGAGCTTGGGTTACATAAGCTATGATTGTGTCACTGTACTCCAGACTGGGTGATAAAGACCCTGTCTGGTAAAACTACAAAAATAAATAAAAGAAAACAGAAATTTGGGCATATTAAATTTTTAAAGGGAGCTTGAAATGCTTATGGGAATATTAATTATGTTTGTAGACAGAACAAATGGTTTAAAGGAGTTTAATCTATTCAATATGGCAATTAATTCAAGAACAAATGAGAGTTAGTATTTTTATTAAGAAACACTATTCTTTTACAAAATTTTATTTAAAAACCGTATTCTGGCCGGGCGCGGTGGCTCAAGCCTGTAATCCCAGCACTTTGGGAGGCCGAGACGGGCGGATCACGAGGTCAGGAGATCGAGACCATCCTGACTAACACAGTGAAACCCCGTCTCTACTAGAAAATGCAAAAACCTAGCCGGGCGAGGTGGCGGGCGCCTGTAGTCCCAGCTACTCGGGAGGCTGAGGCAGGAGAATGGTGTAAACCCGGGAGGCGGAGCTTGCAGTGAGCTGAGATCCGGCCACTGCACTCCAGCCTGGGCGACAGAGCGAGACTCCGTCTCCAAAAAAAAAAAAAAAAAAAACCGTATTCTTTTGTTTTTTGTTTTTTAAGACAAGGTCTCACTCTGGCCCTCAGGCTGAAGTGCAGTGTCACGATCTCGGCTCACTGCAACCTCCGCCTCCCGGGTTCAAGTGATTTTCCTGTCCCAGCCTCCCAAGTAGCTGGGATTACAGGCGTGCACCACCACACCCGGCTTATTTTTTGTGTTTTTAGTGGAGACAGGGTTTCACCATGTTGGCCAGGCTGGTCTCGAACTCCTGACCTCAGGTGATCTACCCGCCTCGGCCTCCCAAAGTGCTGGGATTATAGGCATGAGCCACTGCACCTGGCCTATTCTTTGTCTGTGTTTTGAGACAGTCTCACTGTGTTGCCCACGTTGGAGTGCAGTGGCGTGATCTTGGCTCACTGCAACCTCTGCCTCCCAGGTTCAAGCGATTCTGTGCCTTAGCCTCCTGAGTAGCTGGGACTACAGACATGCGCCACCATGCCTAGTTAATTTTTGTATTTTTAGTAGAGACAGAGTTCCACCATGTCAGCCAGGCTGGTCTCAAACTCTTAGCTTCAAGTGATCCACCTGCCTCAGCCTACTAAGTGCTGGGATTACAGACATGAGCCACCGCGCCCAGCCAAATCATCTACTCTTTTTTTTTTTTTTTTTTTTGAGACAGAGTCTCACTCTGTTGCCCAGGCTGGAGTGCAGTGGCACAATCTCGGCTCACTGCAAACTTCGCCTCCCAGGTTCATGCCATTCTCCTGCCTCAGCCTCCCGAGTAGCTGGAACTACAGGCGCCCGCCACCACGCCCAGCTAATTTTTTTTTTTTTTTTTTTTTTTAGTAGAGACGGGGTTTCACCGGGTTAGCCAGGATGGTCTCGATCTCCTGACCTCGTGATCCGCCCGTCTTGGCCTCCCAAAGTGCTGGGATTACAGGCATGAGCCACCACGCCCGGCCCACCCTACTCTTAATGTAGGAAGTTCAGCTTAAAATTAAAAGGCATAAGTAAAATTTTAATTTTGCATTTGTCAATACATTAAATTAATTATCTGTTTAAAACCCAAGGAACTCTAAATAGTGGTTTTTGTGCACAAAAGTACTCCTCCTTTGGCTTAAAAAAAAAAAGACTCAGGCTGTGTACTGTGGCTCACGCCTGTAATGCCAACATTTTAGAAGGCCGAAGTGGGCCGATCACTTGAAGTCAGGAGTTCATGACCAGCCTGGCCAACATGGTGAAACCCCGTCTCTACTAAAAATACAAAAATTAGCTGGGAGTGGTGGCAGGTGCCTATAATTCCAGCTACTGGGGAAGCTAAGGCAGGAGAATCACTTGAACCTGGGAGGCAGAGGTTGCAGAGAGCTGGGATTGTGCACTGCACTCTAGCCTGGGTAACAGAATAAGACTTTGTCTCAAAAGAAAAACAAACAAACAGACAAAACTCATATTGGCTTGGGGAGATAGAAATTACTCTTCATATTATACCTCCTTTGTATTTGAATATTTATTATCGATATTATATGTGCAGAATGCTTACCTCAACCTATCACCTTACCTCAATGGCTACAACAGTCTATCCTAAGGGATTTTTACAATGATTTTTGGTTTAGAGTTTTGTGTGAGACTTTAATAACCTTTCTACAGAGGAAATACTGGTTCTTATAATTCAAATAGTTACATTCAAACCTAACTTGTTCAGTTCTTAATTCCCACTTTCTACCTAACATCTATGACTTTGATTAAATAGCTATTCCAATTGATTTGAAAAAATCTCATATTTATACCTCCCTCCACGTATCTTGAATTTGAACAATGCCCTGGACCTGTCACATACATTCACTCTTCTGTGCCTTATATGCGCTGTCCTGGTTCTGCTAAATGAGTCATGAATGGTCAAATACATTAGATAGGGATGGATAAATGGGTGGATAAGCACATGAGTGGATAAATAAGTGAGCAAAGAATAGTCAAAAATAACCTCCTCAGCCAGGCACTGTGGCTCATGGCTGTAATGCCAGCACTTTAGGAGGATGAAGGTGTGGATCACTTGAGGTCAGGAGTCACTTGAGGACCAGCTTGGCTAACATGGTGAAACCCCATCTCTACTAAAAATACAAAAAATAGCCAGGTGTGGTGGCAGGCACCCGTAGTCCCAGCTACCTGGGAGGCTGAGGCACGAGAACTGCTTGAACCTGGGAGGCAGAGATTGCAGCGAGCCGAGATCGTGCCAAGGTACTCCAGCTTGAGCAACAAAGTTAGACCCTGTCTCGAAAAAAAAACCTCCTCTATGAAGTCTTCCAGCCACTTTTACTAAGTGAGTAGCTCCCTTTGGCACCCTCTATTTCATTAATTCATTTATTCAACAAACATTGAATGAGCACCTATGATAGGTGGCATTGTTCTAGGCACTACAGATACAGAAGGAAACAAGACAGTTCCTGTATTCAAGTAGATAGACAATATCTTAGGGAGACAGACAATATCCTAATCAAATAAGCAAATAAATGATATAATTTCAGATGGTGATGAATGTCATGAATATAATAAAACAGCAGCGATATTACAGGGTGAGGAGGAGGCTACTTTAAGGGGTGAAGACCTCTCCACCAAGGTGACATCTGAGCTGACACCCAAATGACCAGAAGGAACAAGCTATGTGAGGACCTGAGTGAAGAGGGATCCAGGCAGAAAGAAAAGCTAAGGAAAGCTCCCAATGTGGAACCAAGCCTAGCATGTTCCAAGAACAGAGCCTTTGTTTCTTCGCCAGGTACTGAGACATTGTGACAGGTCTGTGTTTTGCCATGCTAAAAAGGTGGAAATATCTGGTAACTGAGCATGAGATAGCTTACCAATTGGAATCCTCTGGGCTCCATATTCTGTCTTCTCTCCCTCCCTACTCACCAAACTAAATTGTTCAATTTCTGCTAATGCACTTAAGTCATTTAACTCATGTGCACACACGCACTTACCACATATATGCATATACGATATACTGATACACGTGTACACATGTATATGTATGCTGTACACAGGTACACACATACACACATACACACAGGACTTGCTAAGCACCAGGGTCTTCTGATGAGCTGACTGGAAAAAGAAACAGATGTGTAGAATAGGAACACAACTCACATTTTGCCATTCAATATAGCAGAGATGCATGAAGAAACTTGAGAATCCTGTTTCCAGCCTAAAATATACAATGCCTGCCTTGGCCAAGGCTAGAGAAAGGAGAAGGAGAAAAGATAGGGTGGAAATACAGATGGAAGGAGTAGAAATGATGGATTTGTAAGCATGTACCCCAAAATGATGGGATGACAGCAGAAAAAAAGTCAGGAGACTCAAGTGGGTTTCAAACAGGAGAAGGAAAGGTTAAGAACTTACCTTGGCCTTCAAAGTTTGGTCAATGAAATGGGCCACAGGGTACTTCTTGCTATTCATCATGGGCACTTTTATAACCGAGTTTTTGAAGTGAAAAGTTTCCATTCTGGTTTTTTTGGGATCGAATGTTGTCTTCCACTTGGCTAGAGGGAAGAGGTGGGAGAGGTGCTCTAATGCACGTAGGAAAAGGATGAAGAGGAGCTAAAAGCCTTGTGAGCAAAGGGTGGGGCAGGGACATTGAGATCTGACTGTAGAACTTGGGGTTAGGTGGGCTTTGAAGCCAGGAGGGGAAGAAGGACCCAGCATGGGAAGACCAACTGGCTCAGGGCCCCCTTACCACTCAGGTAGATGGCATTGAGGAGGACAAGGCGGGTATCGGAGGGCAGGCTGTCTAGCAGCCGGCTGATCTTGTTGTTGGTGTTCTTGGCCACCCAGGTGTTGATGAGCTCCAGGTTGGCGTCACTGTCGTTGCTCAGGACTCTGGGACTGCTGCTGTACAGGGTCTGAGAGGCATTCACAAAGGTGTCCCTTATGGCCAGGTCTGGGGGTATGTGGAGAAAGGGAGGCATGAGTCCCCTGAACACATCGTTCCTCTCCATGAGCGAGATTTGAGAGTGAGCATGCTTCCTATGGCTCTACCTGCTCACTCTAGTGAACACGGCATGGTGGAGCGGTCCAGCCCACTCCTCTTACAGATGCGGCGAATGAGGCCCAAGAAGGCAAACTCAGAACCAGGAATCAGAGAAGCGGCCCTAAGCCTCTGCTGCCTCAGCTTGCTATGTTACTGTGGCTCTGCAAGATAATCTTTTTGAGATATTAAATTCCATTTGCCTATATTTTTCCTCTTTTCTGCTCTTAATTTGGCATGGCATAGACTTGGCTTCGGTGGGAGTTTGTGACAAAACTTTCTGGCTTTTGCTCTCCAAAAGCCTTCAGTCCGCTGGAAAAAAAAAAAAAAAAGAAAAAAGCACTCAAAAGATAATTTTTCTAGGACTAAGTAGATTAAAGATACTTTCCGAGCTGGGCATGGTGGCTCACGCCTGT